CTTTCAGTATATTCTCAGGCATAAGGCACTCATTATCTTATAAAGCAGTCTGTTAATCAGATTTTGGAAATTTTTCCTCTTGTTGAGCTAAAATCATTCATTCCATTGCTCAAAAGACAGTGAGTGCCCAGAATGCTTCGGCCATACTTCTGGTGCTGACATAGCTTTGGCAGACCTGATAGTCTGATGCAACTTCAGCCGATCAATCCTAATTCTACACATCAGTTCTAGCTCAAGGTTTCAAAACTACAGAGAGTAAATCCAATAGCCTAGTGAAGTCTAGGTGCATGTAAACAAACAGAAGCCAGGTGGAAACTATAATGGAAGAAGTTTTGATTCATCATAATACCCTCAAATATAAAATAGTTTAAGAAGTACTTAACATGAAATTTGTAGATTGAATGTGAAGACAACTATAAAAATTTACTAAGGGCCATAAAAGATGACTTGAATAAATGGAGAGACATAACATATTCCTGGGTGGGAAGACTCAACATTGTAAAAACACCACTTCTCAAATTAGTCTAAAAATTTAATGCAACTGCAATCATAATCTCAGTTATTTTCTGCTTAAAACCTAACAAAGTTATCTTCAAGTCCATCTGGAACAATAAATATGTGAGTATAGCAAAGAAGTTCTTGAAAATGGGGAAGGGAGGGTGAGGGATTGATCTACTAGATTTTAAAATGAACAATAAAGCTGAAATCAGATTAAACAGTGAAGACCAAAATTTCAGTGGTACAATAGAAAACCCAGAACATACATACACATATATGTATCTACAGACATGGGCATTATATTATAAATACATAGGTTATGGTTGAAGGGTGTTAGGACAAGTGGAAGGTATCTTCTAGGAAGATAAATCCTTGCTATATCCTGTACTACATATCAAAACAAATTCCAGTTGGATTCCAATGCAAAAACAAAACTACTAAAAGAAAGTATGCATTATCATTGATAAACACTTAGGCTTCCTATGCAAAAATTAATAAAATCTTGGGCTTTCTAAGCTGGAGATAAAATTAACCGCATGAAGTTGAAAATGTCCATACTATCCCTTTCCCTTACTAAACCAACAAAATATAACATATTTAAGAGATAAAATCACAAATTGGAGAATATTTATAGCTTACATGACAAAGGGTTAATTTTTTTAAATAAATAAAAAGCTCCTAAAATTCAAAGTGACAAATGTAAGCATCTCAGTAGGAAAAAGGACTAAGGGCAGAGACAGGTAGTTCACCAAAGGAGAAATATAAATTGCCAATGACATGTGACTAAAATGCTTTCCTCAGTACAAATATAATAAATATAAATCACAATGAAGTGGAAATTGATTATCATATTAGCAGGGATGAGTAAGATTTAGGGTGGTAAAGATGTGAGTAAATGAGCTCTCTTTCATTGTTTGTGGAAGTATAAACGGTTACAAATTTTCTGGAGGATAATTTGGGTGAATTTTCCAAGACATTAAAATGTTAGCCTTCTTATTAACCCAGCAATAGAAATTCAAACATCAATCTATAAGGATTACCATTGTAATCATATTAATAATATTGAAAACTATAAACCATCAGAGGGAGGGTGGAATAAATTATGGCAAGTTGATATGATATCATATTAGGCACCCATTAAATAATACAGAATAATAATGTCATGAAAAACAGTCACTATAAATTCTTGAGTGAAAAAAGCAAGTTACTGAAAATTTTAAAAGTATAATTACATTCATATATGCATGTATATATTTAATTAAGTGTATGTATATGCATATAATCAGATGTACTCAGACAAATATTAACAATAGTTATTAATAGGTAGTAAGAAAACAGGTAATTCTAATTTTATTTCTTTCTGTGAACTTATACTTCCTAAATTTTCTGTAATGTTTATGCATTACTTTGGTAGTAAGAAAAAATAAAAAAAATATGTTTCTAAAAACAGATGTACTTTGTTTAAAGCAACAGAAATCCCTTTTTCAAATGAAATCTTATGTGAAAACCCAATTCATGGAACCAATAAAAGGGATAGTGTAGGGGTGGCAAGCCTAGAGCCCTGCTCACCTGGTGGGCATCCTTGAGCACCACTTTGAAATGTCAGGGCTAGGGGAATTCTGCTGAGAAAAGAATGCATGCACACACCATCCTTAGGACCTACATGATGTGTTGTTCATGAAACCCAGACAGGCTCCATGATTGCTGGTTACCTCCATAGTTACTCATAAACTGTTTAATAGCTTATTCCACTTAGTTCTTTATATTCATTGCCATACATTCATTTGTTAAGCACTTTTTAAGAAGTTTTCTAGATTTTAGCTTTGCAATATCTAGTTTAGTTGTGGATTAGAACGAAAATGATTTTATCATTACCAGAAATACCTGTAGGTAATTATCATTTGGTGCCACTCCCTCAGATTTCACTGAAGGTTGATATGGGAGATGACTTCATGAAGAGTGTATCTCCATCTTCCCTAAGACTATTATTAAATATATTGCCCACTACAGTGTCCAAAGGTCCCTTATACAAGGATACGTGTGATAAATTCCCCTAAAATTTTAGTACCAGAAAAGAAGTTTGCCCATTTTTATAAATAAGTATGATTTCCTTCTATAGTGCTGTATTATTCCTATATAACTCATCATGTTTCCCTTTTGGCTTTGGCTGCCAGAAAGCTCAGAGCTATATTTATTGCCAAACCACAGCAACGAACAGCTGCCTAATTTTGCAGAAAAACTCTATCCCAAAGCACTTGAGTATTTACTCTCAACTAAATGGTCCCATGATACGCATGGCTCATGTTATGAGTTGCCTCAAATCCAATTTGGAAATAGGCAAAGATTAAATAATAAACAAACAAACAAACAAACAAACACATAAGTAATTTGGACTAAGCAGGCTTGGTATTGGCAGTAGAAAATGCTTACACCTAGAGTTTGGTTTGTATCAAATGCCTAATGGGCACATTGCTTAATCTGAAGTACTGCTCTGGAGTGAGCGTGCCCCTGGGTGCAGCCATGGACTTTTGGGTCTTTCTGCTATTGAGGTCCACATCTACATTCACCCATCCCATGATGCTTGCTCCCTAGAGGGGGTCTGCATGACATCCAATAAGGATATCAGGTTGTAAAGGGTGGCAAAAGAGCAAGGTACAGATAAACTAGCAATTTATACATGGACTGTAACCTTTAACTATTTAATAAAACAAGATCTTGCTGAAATGGACCAGGAAATAGAAAGACAATTTTCACACATAAAAATAAACAATTTTTAGGTATTGGGGTATGTTTATGTGTGTGTGTGTGTGTGTGTGTGTTTATTACAATCTTCAAAGGTAGACTAAAATATCAGGTGAATTGAGATACTTCTTTACCTTTCTACAAGGTCAAATATGTATTCTTATTGTTAACATTACTTACATTGTTTTACAAATGTTGAGTGCTGAAAAGGGCATAGAATCTGGAGGAAAGGAAGCCAAAATTATTTTGAATGGCTGATATCATTTTTTTACCTTCATTATTTCGTTTAAGGGACACTATTGTTCTTTTTCTCTGGAATGAATAAGCTCTTCAGCAACCTCCCTAATAACAAGGGAAGGGACTAACATAACAGACATTGTGTTGCAATGATTTAGATACAAGGGCCCCTAAGCCTGGACTCCGGTAATGTAGCCTTGATATAGTATGGCTTTCTGCATCAGCAACAGATGCCTTCAAAGCCTTTAGGAATAGCTTGACCCCTGTGACTCATCAGTAGGACAGGTTATCATTACAAGAAAGACGTGCCATGCTTTTCACAGGAGAGCCCAAACCAGTCTATGAGCAAGTGGGCCAGGCAGGCTCATGAGACCCCAAATATCTTCCTCCTCATGAGGGCTTGTCTGATAGTCCACAGACAGTTTCATTCAAGGCAGCAATGCTTGGTCTTCAAGAGCCCAGCTCTGGAATCAGATCTCCCACTTTTAAATCCCAGCTCCACCACTTACTGTTGGCTGAGTAACCTGGGTGTAGGCCCTAACTTTGAGTCTTTCTGTGAATTAATAAGAACGTCCATGAAAGGCGTTTAGCCAGCACTTGGCTCATGGTACACCTTCAATATATGTCAGCTTCTATTATTATTATTCAGATTTAAAGTACCACCTAACAACATGCAAATACCCAGAGAGGCATACCTTGTTACCAGCTAATACTTGGGGGGCAGGAGAGGCGAGTCTCACCACCTGAATGTCAATTAAGATGACAGTAGCCAAGAGCAAGGGATCCAGGATTGAAACCTGGGAGAAGCGGGGAACTAGGCCAAAGGAGAGAAACGACGTTGACATTTTGCTCAGAGCCACAGTGATTCTTCTACACGGAAAAGCACCCAATGGGTGCAGCTATCCAAGCGCAAATCCTTGCTGTTGCAGAAAGGCAATCTAATCGCTGAATCCAGATCACAGAATCCGTGGCCCTCGGGACATTAGGGACAGCCCCTTTCTCTATTAACTGCTCCACCACAGAGATTTTATATATAGACTTTCTATGATAAGAGATATTAGACTGTAGCGCCGCCACATTAGCTCTTTGTTTTTTGTATGCAAGTGTTCTCAACACTGATGTGTGTGGAAATGTGCACACCCCAGAGAGGCTTCCAACGGGCTTGCCATTAGCGGCCAACGGAAAACCACCACTCTTTTCTGCAAAGCAGCTGCGCGTCCCTTCGCACTCGGAGTAGACTTCCATTCGTAAAGTCATCCGTCACCTCTATAAATCAGCCATTTGTTGATTTTAACATCCCCTCCTGACCAGCAAGGAGAAAAGAGGAAATGCCATTTTGGAGACTTTCCGTTAAGCTGTTGCGTACAAAACGGATGAGGGATTTTTTTTTTTTTCCTCTCTTTTCTCCTCGGGGTACCCAGGAAAGGCTGATTCAGAAAGACCCGCTGGGTCGGGGAGGGGTCCTTCCGGGAGCGCCCACGCGGCCCGCACCCCCGCGTGCGCCCAGCAAACGCAGCACTGACCTGTCAGGCCGGCAGCCTCCGCAGACAGGAAGGCGCTCCAAGACAGGAGGAAAAACAGGCCGGTTTCCAGCAGAGGGAACTCACAGAGTTTGGTAAATTTGGTCAAGTGACAAAGACATGTTAAGGGAGACAACAAATGCCGGTACAGCTAAATCTCCTCCTTGACTGAGGAAAACGAAATCTGGTTGAGATCGTTTCGCAGTAAGAGAACTGATCTGCAGCGCTGACTGGGAGGCCATGCTTCTCACTGGGCCGGCTTGGAAGGCCAGCGTGCGTTCCACGCTTCGTGGGGAGCTGAACGCTCCAGTAAGAAGGCAAACCTGTGTTCACATTTCTAAAAAGGTGTCTTACTGAGGAAGAAGATAAAATCAGCTAACTGTGGGTCCAAAAGCTCTTGAATTTGGCCTTGGCCCTTGGGGCGTGCCCCTCAGGGGAGGGCAGCAGATCAGGGAAAACAAAGCCCTGGATAAGGAAGCAAGTGCGTCAGCACCCAAGGAGGCCACTGCTCCCTGGGGAGCGATAGTCTGTGGACAGATCACCTTAAAGACTCCTCTCTCGGGGATGGGAGTTGGATCAGGAGGAACATTCATGTTCAGTGGTAGGGAAGTTACCCATGCCATCTTAGTAGAAGTAGGATAGAGGAAAAGGTGTATTATTTCTAGGTCAGGCAAGCAGCCCTTTGGCAGGCAATGGTTCATTTTGGCTGGGATGACACTTGGTCAGTAGCCTATAAATTGCACATAGAGCAAGGGCAGAGTGATCCAAATCATGCAGAGCATGGGTTATGGGAAGATGATTAGGAATTTGTGATGGATGGAAAAGGGTTACATTGCAACTGTGCCCACACTTAGGCAAAAAAATGCCCTGACAAGTAAGGAGATGTTATGTTGCATTTTTATGCTTCAGGACAAAATCTAAAGAGATTCTACTTAATGTAGATGTTTAGCAGTAGGGCAGGGAAGCAAAAAGCATGACCCCTGGAGTGGAAGATCAAGGTCTGAGTCTTGGCTCTGCTAGTCACTGGCTGTGTGATTTCAGAGCAATATATCAACCTCTCTGAGCCTCATTTCTATCCTATGTGAATTGTCAATGAGAATAATACCTCCTCTCTCAAGTGTGGAGAGTAAAATGAGATGAAGTATGTTTTAAATGTTTTGCAAAATTATAGAAAGCACAAAATGCCAAGAAGAGGCAGAATGATATCATGGTTGGGAATATAGCCTCTGGAAGCCAACTCTACTTCAATGTATCAGCTGCAACGTGTCCCCTGACCACTTTGTGCCTTGGCTTCCCTGTCTGAAAGTGAAGAAAATCATGTAACCTACCTCCTAGGTATATAAACCAGTTATTATGTGTTAAGCACTCAAAAGAGTGCCAGATATGCAACAAGGAATATATATGTTTTTCTATCAGTGTGACTTAAATTAATTTGTTTTGTAATACATCTTTCCCAGATGTAGATTCAGTAAGCGTCTGGAAACAATTCTTTATCTGGAAGAAAACACAGGATGCCCTTTGACCCTTTCAGCATTCCCTCTTATTACTTGGAGGGCAGGCTTTTTGTTTTTAGTGGGGTCTGTTCCTCTGAATTCCCTCTTCTACTTTGTTGTGGAGAAGGCTTAGACCACTTTGAGTAACAGGATATCAAGTGGACATAGGACATTTGTCTCTTTCAACCTTCGCCAGAAAGCAGTTTAGTTCTGGGTCAAGACCCAAGCTTGCCTAGAGCCCAGGGGCCTATACCCTGAGGAGCATCACCTCATTATGGACAAGGTATCAAGGCTCATCATGGTGGAGGGAATGACTGTGCACCTGTCTCCTTTGCAGCCTGAGTTTGGGAGAGGCAAGGCCATCAGGTGCTGTATGACAGATCCATCCCCTGAAACTGAGCCGCTGTCTCTTCTCTCTCTCCACCATTTTTTTCCAGATCTGATCCAATCCCATGGCAGACTTCTAATCTCCAGGAATTTTTTCCCTTTCCTTGCCAACTTGTTTAATTGTGTGTCCATACCTTCCCTTCATATGAAGCAGAAAAGAGTTCCAATTTCAGTTTTTTCACCTAGTGCAGGCTCTGGAGCCAGAAAGTGTGGATTTAAATCCCAGCCCTGAAATGTCTCAGCTGTATGGCTTTAGACAAGTTGTTTAACCTTTATGTGTCAGTTTCTTTAGCTGTAAAACTGAGATAATAACAGTATCTTCCTCCCAGTGTTTTTATAAAAGCTATATGAGAAAATCCATTAGCAAAATGCTAATGACAATGGCTGGCAAATGGTAAAGTTCTCAACGAATGTTACAGTAATAATAATTGTGTTGGCTATTACTAATATGTGACCCAGAGTAGCTACTTAACCTCCTTGAGCCTCAGTTTCCTCATGTGTAGAGTGAGGATAATAATAGCTTATCTTACAGGGTTGATTCAAATGAGGAGATACATACAAAGGCCGTGGCACATGCGAAATGTTGCTATCATCATTACCATTACTTATGCAAAACAACGTGTGGCTTCCATCATAATTCCACTTAATAATCAAGAGGCAATAGGGATCAGTGATCAAAAGTATGGTCTGTCTCTTGGTTTCAATCTCTGGGTTTGAATTTTGGCTTTAATACTTACAAGCTATATGATGCTAGGTAATACCCTACCCTTTCTAAGCTTCAGTATCCAACAAAAATAATATCTGTGTGATATGGTCATTGTGAGGGTGAATGAAGTATAGCGTGTAAAACAAATAGAGGCCTGTGTATCGTAAGTACTGATATTAATCATTAGATTATTAATCGTTATTTTTATTAGAGATCAGCCCTACCTTTTCTGAATTACTTTATTTCTTTGTCAAAGGAGTTGACATTCTCTAGGGTTTCCAGGACAAAATTCTGGAGTGGTCTTTGAGTCTCTCCTCTTCTAATCCTATTCTAGTCCTAGAAATTCTTCTAAACATTAGACTCCTTCTTGATATTTCTTTCACAGTTCATCATCACAGTTTCTCTTGATTCTAATCCTTTTCTGACTCATCCTATGAACCAGTTCTTCATTTATTGTTTAAAAACAGGACTTTCAGTATGTCACTCTCCTGAGCAGAAACCTTTGGTAGCTAATTGCAGACTACAGACAGAAGCTCAGATTCCTTTGAATTACACTCCAAGATATTCCACAGGGTGAGTCCAACCCACCTGTGTCTCCTCATCTTCTACTGCTCACCAAACCGAGACTTCTGGTCCTCTCAGTCCCATCCTTACACTTCAATGAATGCTGGTTTTCTCCTGAATCACTAATCATATAGCCTTTGTCTATATCCTACCTATATTTCAGGCCAAGCCTACATTCCTCTCTGCATGTAAATATTACTTTTCAAATTATTTTTCAGAATTATAGTCTGGTCAAGAGTCTATCAGACTATTTCAGAAACAATGGACTCATCCACATTTGAATTTTTAGAGTCCTAATAAGTTGGCTGTAGTTTTGGCACCCACCTTCTATACAACTCTTATTGTAGAGCTTGTCTTTCCAAGTTTGTTACTAATTGAAGGCGGAGTCCATATTTTATTCATCTTCCGACTCATGTTAGAAACCCTTAGTAGAACCTAGTGTTTTAGCAGCCGCTCAGTGAATAGAGATTCACTGGGTCAGTCCCCATGAAAAAGTACCCAACGTTTTGCTTTCTTTGCTAGATCCCTGACACATCTTGCACCCTTCTTCTTTCTCTTTTCCCCAAGGTTTTTGATCCTTGATCCTTTGTTCTGCCTCTTTTTATGGCCTCTATTGAGCCCTCACACTTGACATTGGTTTTCTGGCTTTCTTCCTCAACTCTGACTTACTTTTGCCCCATCCAACTGCTCTGACTGAACAGCTCACTAGACCAGCTTCATTCCCTGGCCCAAATTCTCTAGGAACTCTGCCCATTCTCCCACTGCACTACTGCAAAAGAGGGAATGAGATGACACAACTGTCCAGATATGGCAAACATGTCATTTCTACCCTGCTTGCCCATCCCCTTCTGTAAAATTGCTAAAGATGTTTGTTTAAACCCACAGTGATTTTTTGGCTTGGCCAGTCCTGTGAGCTAGTGATTGCAAGAAGTTTGAAAAGGAAGAAGAGAATACCCAGTTAATCACTCCCAGTCAATCCTGTCTTGTCCTTGACCTTGGATCTTCAGTTCTTCCTCTTGACCCGAATACAGCCAATCCTGATGTCCCATGCCCACCTATTTTCCTACATGGCAGTTTTTTAAGACTGTTGCTATCTTGGCATCAGACAGTATCAGTAGTGCTAGAACAGGCCTTGGACAAGAAAAGATCCTCGTCCCCTCTGCCACTGGTACCAATCTATGCCTCATAGATTGGGAACAAAGATGGCTCCAGGGGCATTGTATCATATTTGAACTAGACTGTCTAGCCATTTCTTGCTCGGCCTGGAGGTTGTCCATCCTCAGAAATAGTCCAGGCATAGCGCTCAATAGTCCCCAGCTTTCCACACACATGTTCAAAGGATATCAGCGCGGTGACAACAGCGTACGCAGACCCCATTGCAAACGAGCCGGCGAAGATCCCCAGGAAATTCCCCACAGACCGGAAGAATGCTGCAGCATCAAATGTATTTGGATTCTCCTTGGGGCTGTACATGGATATCGAACTGGAAAGAAAAGAGGGTGAAGGTTAGTCAGTGACTTCTTATAGCCCAAATACCAGAAGTCAGAAGTTAGCAGCCACTTCTGGGGAGGGTACCTTGTCCTGTGAGGTTAGGTGCTGGTTGGAAGAGGTCAGGAGAAACAGATGAGGACAGGGAGAGGCAGAGAAAGTAGAGAGCTTTCCCTTTCCTTACAGCCCAATCCCATGGTATCCATATATTGCTGCTAGTCAGTAAACATTTTTATATTGGAAGGGTCATAAAGAATATTGTTTCTGAGCAAACTAGGCATTAAAACATGGTAGGTATATAAGGAATCTGCTGAGGAGATAGATAACTGTGAATTATTTAGTGGCCATATGTCTTCAGTGCTGTTATATATTCACAAATGCTCCTGATAAAAAGTGCACTTTTATGGCCTGTGCACAAATGGGCAATACAAATCACAGCATGCACAAAATATTCTGCTGTGATCTTGTCATAAACCACAAAGCATTCCACCTCTCCAGTGTAACCCTTCAGAAACAGAGCCCAGAGGATGCTTAGAGCATCACAGTATTAACCCCTGGGGAGAGACAAAAACCCTCATTTTCCCACCAAAACAAATGGCAGCAGCTGCTCGAGGTCATGTTTTATACCCCAATTCTGGTGGTTGCCAACAGATTTATTTCCATAGAGAAAAATCAATCCACCAATAGGCAGCCTGTTCACTTAAATATTTTTGAGGACACCACATTTGTTATTTTTTTTTAACCAGGGCCTCAAGTCCCAGAAGGACAAGGTGCGTCCTATTTTAAGAAATATGAACTCCATATTGTAGCATTAAAATGAACAGATGTGCTAGAACCAGTAGCTTTGGGGAGATAAATGAAGTAACATTTCATTTTTTTAAATAGTTTTTCTTTTAATTATGAGGCCTTTAAAACTAATCAGGAAAATCAAGAGTTTTGTAATAGGTTCTGGAAGGGACTTTGTAGCAGTATAGAGAGCAAAAAGTACACTAGACACACTGACTTGAGATTAGATTGGATTTTACAGAGATCTAACTGAATCTTTTATGGTTTGGATGATTAGAGCATGTTAACTCTGATTTGACTTTCTGTATCTAGAGACTAGTTAAGGGGGTGGGGAAGGGGGATTCCAGTTTTTCTACAGGAAGATGTGTGCTTAAAAAAGTAGTTTTAAATGTTCTTAGTTTTTCCCTGGATGTCTTTAAACCCCTAAAGTAGGCCAAACACTTCTACTTTGATCATGTAATTGGATAAGGAAGATGAATGTGGATCTCAAATGGAGCCCTTGAAATGTATGTGAGAAAAGGATTGCCTTTGAAGTGTTTTCTCTTAGTAAAGTGTTGTGTCTTGCAGAAAAAAAAATTGAAAAGCAAACCCATATTTAGATCCTTTGTATCTGACAATCCTGAGAATGGGTGTATAACCCCACGGCCATTAGGAAACTTGGTGGCCAACACTGAAAAGCTTGATGTGTAAGTTAACATTCACCAGCACATTTCTTCATTCCAGTGAAGGAACATAGTGATGAGAAAACATTCTATTTGCATTCTGCTTTTCCAAACAAAGAGTTTTGCATTGTAACACAGCTCTGTGAATAATTCTGTTAATTCCTGAGGCTACCAATAGATCTGATCCATAGAACAGGTACCTCTTCATCCCCATCTCCACCTCCACACTCCAGAAATTATTTTCTCTGTCCTTATACTTCTTGACCTTGGAGTACCATCATCACATCATTTGGCCATAGCAACATGTAATGTTACTTCCATTATTAATGTAATGTTTTTCTTTAAATCAACTCATTTTTATTCAAATGCAAGAGCTTTTATTAAAGAATATTTATGAAGTCATGGGTTTGATGTGCTAATTTTCTTTCTTCTTAATACCCATGAGACTATGTAACTATTACATTTGATGAAAAGTTCACCTGTGTGTCACCTACAATCATCTGGGTAACCGCACTGATTCTCAGCCTGCATTCTGGGAGTCATTCTCTTCCTGGGCTCTGATCCCCACCCAGTAGGGTACAGGCAAACTTCATATACTTCTTCCCTGTGATGCTGGATTTAACTTAAGGGGAAAGCTTAACTTCCCTTGACTTATGAAGACTTGTCTCTTGAATGTGCTGCCCCTTAAGCTTCCTAGGATGTATGCACTGGATGCCCACTAAGGGTCTGGTGGTGCATTAAGTGTAGGGTGTTGGGGGCAGGCAGGAAAGGGCATAGAGAAGAGAAGCAGAATTTGAGTAAATAAACATTTTACTGAACATATACAAGGCGTATCTAGGCACAGGGGCCTGAGATGTAGATGACGACTAGCTCCAGTCATGGAGTTAAGTGTGATTTTTTTGAGAGATATGTAACATTTAGTGGTACAAATGAGGCAAGAGTCACTACCTTAGATGAAAGGAGATGGCATTTGAGCAAGGAAGCAAGTCAACAGACAGTGATGGGAAGAGGGTACTTCAGGCAGTAGAAAGAGTGTGAGCAAAGGGAAGAAGGCAGATGAGTCGAGGACACTTCAAAGCAGAGCTATATAGTTATGGCTGGAACACAGGGACCATGTATGTGGGTACCTATGGAGGTAGAGATAGGTAGATGGCGTCACTCAGCTTTAAATTCCATGTGAAACATATACAAAAGTCCTCACATTTACATATCATTTTGTCCCCTTTAGGCCTGCATTATAACTTCATTTGATCCTATAACATTTCTGCCAGGTAAACAGGGCAGGTATTTTTATCCCTCCTTTTCTTTTTTTTTTTTTTTTTTTTGACAAGTGATAGAAGCTTTTACTTTAATATTGTAATAAAAGTAATTTTTTTTTAATTCTTATGTTAATCCCCATACATTACATCATTAGTTTTAGATGAAGTGTTCCATGATTCATTGTTATCCCTCCTTTTCTTTCTTCTTTTTTTTTTAAAATAAAACAAAGAAACTAAGGGTCAGAGAAATTAAGATCATAGAGCTATGGAGTTCAAAATGCAGATTTTTCGCTTCTTCCTTCAAAAATTGATCTTGTTGGGAGGAAAACAGGAAAAACAGGAACCCAAATCAGGATAGCTGAGTGCTGCACCAATTGTAAATGTAGAAGTTCAGGTACCAGAACCTTTAATTTCATCCCTGGATGGACCATGGGCAACACCTTCTTGTGTGCAAGGATAGAGCAGATTGCACTGTATGGGACAACAGCACCCTCTTCCCCACCTCACTAGACTGCGAGACTCGGGGCTTCTCATGGGAATCAGCTTTCAGGCCTGGATCCTGGACCTGAGCTTTGCTGGGCCTGGCCTGGGTCTTGTTCTTCTTCATATGACCAGGACACAGACTGGTGCCTGGCACGTGGCAGGCCAAATAAAGATGAATGAAATAAAGGCAGGATGACTGGAAAGTAGAAAGGAAAGAAAGAAGAAATACAGGAAAGAAGGAGGTCTGCAAAAGCTAGGCTTGAAATGAATCATCATCTACAAGATTTCCTTTATTAAGCAATGACTTTATATATTTACATTGTGGGTACTTTTAAGTTCATCAACCCAAACTGAAGGTGACACTTGAGACAACTTGAGCTTCAGAGATCTGACCCTTATTGGCTCTATGGCCTTGGGCAAGTTATTTCATCATGCTCAGACTCAGTCTCAAAGTCTGTAAAATAGAAATATTAATAGTACTTATCTCCCAGAAATGCATGAGGATATGAGGTACATTTAAAACCTGTATATTTATCTTGTAGACTTTAGGGCCATCCACTGAGTACTGATTATGTGCATGAAAAATAAACACTCACTGAATGCTGATAATCATCACCACCATCATCATCATTCTGCTAAGAACTTCCATAAACCTCACAATGACAGAGAACAGAGTGCTGTGGCTGAGCCAGGCCCCAGCTCCAACTACACAGAGATGGGGTGTGGCTCTCCTCCTGGCATACCAGGCTTCCAGGTTGCTGCAAGGAACTAGTCACTTTTGCATGGGAACAGAAGGATCTCCTGGGAGGACATGGTCATTGAAGTGAGGCTAAAATCTGTTCTGTTTATTGCAAAGCTCTTCACTCCATGGATCCACAAAGAAAGGAGCATCCTTGGCAGTCTGGGTAGGAATCTGTCTCAGGACAAGAACAGGCAAGGAGACTGAGCTTGTGTTGCTTCACCCCTAGTTAAGCGGCTCACCCCTCCTGGATATTCTGTAGGCAAAGCCCTCTGGCTTCAGGTGAGGAGTGAGGTAAAGAGAGCAGGTAAAGAAAAGTCAGGCAGGTTGCATCTCTCCTGACTGCCAGGATTTTAGGAAGCTGTTCTTCTGGGCTCTAAATCCTGGTGAAGGAGGTACCTCTTTGGGCTCTGGTTTTCAGCTACAACACTAAGCCTATGGATTGTAGGGCAACAGCTGCAGAGGGTGCTTTCTGGAAACAAACAAGGGTTTGGGTAGCATATGTAGAGCTTTCCAACTTCACCCCAAGAGAGGAAGAAATGGCTGTTCCAGCAGTTGCAGCCCTTTGGACTTAAAAAGAAAATATTTCCTCCCCTGCACTGAGGGACATGCTTGGACCATTCGTGTATGCAAACATTGGAAGGGAGAGAGGAGAAGAAGAAGAATTAAACTTTCTGCTAACCTGTCTGGTGCTTGTTCTCTGGGGCACTACTCTGAAGAGGCATTGTTTATAACACAAGCTGGTGAAGATAGATCTACAATCCCCATATTTCTGGAAAGAATATTTGGGTTAGATGAAACCAATATCCTTGAAAGTGCTATGAGCAGAAATACATAGTGGTGTTTAAATATTCATCTCATAAATTGGAAATAAGTCCAGGTTATTGATTCATTCTATTCAGGAAAAGATTACTCAGCAAAAACAAGTTTGATGATAGTATATTGTATCTGTTCTCAGAAATAAATGTGTGCAGCATCTTTTATTCAAAAATTTTGAAATGGATGAAATATCCCAATTCCTTTGATGAAAGCAACATGAATAAGGATCATGTTGCTCACTGTACCATTTAAGATTCACAGACAGGATCGCAACTCTGGTGTTTCTCAACATCCCATTATTTAATCTTTACGATGTTCCTTCAGGGAAGTCACTTGGCAGCTTAGGTAGTATTGAGAGCATAGAATCTGAGTCTGGGATCTGGATTCAAATCTCAGTTCTGCCACTTACTGCCTGTGTGACCTTGAGCAAGTTACTTAATTTATATGCACCTTAGGTTCCTATAAAATGAGGATGATAACAATAGTAACCATCACATAAGTTGCTACAAGAATTCAATGAATTAATGTTTATAAAGCACTTGAAATGGCACCTGTAACATAGTAAGAATTAGACGAGCATTTCTTAAGTACATCATCCTTCTTCAAATAACCCATTCTTCCCACTGCTCCTCCTCCTTCCTTTCTCTCTCTTTTGAACAGACAGTTTGGTTTACTTCTAAAACAAGTATCTCAAACTAGATATCCAATCAGCACCTCAACTGAAACAGAACTGAGATGTCATCACCAATCTCTCCTACACCTGACTGGACTGGTCCCTGGTCTAGGGTCACGGAGTGTCAGGGACCATTTGATCTTACAAATTGTTTTTTGTGGAATGGTGTATGACACCTATGCTCAATAAATACTAGTGATGAAGAAGAAGAAGGAGAGAGCAAGAAGAAGAAAAGGAGGAAGAGAAAAAGGTATTGCAATTATGCTGGAAGTGAAAATGATATAATGCAGGGAAAGTGTTCTCTAAATGGTACCACCATTTCTGCCACCAATGCCATCCCCTCCATGACTCATGACTCTGACCTTCTTCCCATTTTGGATCCTACCCAGTCTTCTCTCTCCTGGTTCTTACAGTCTTTCTCAAGATCACCTGGTTTCTAACACCATCCACTTTGTTATTTTTCACTGCTACTGCTAAAATATTTTGCCTCACACTTACTCACTTAAACTACCCAACAACATCCTGCTCCTGGGCAGCTCTTCTTTCATTGGCCCTCCCAGCTCCCACAGTCTACTCTCTGTCCTGGGTGCCTGACTGGGACATCCTGCTTCTCCAACGCCCCAGTATAGTCTCAATTCTTTTGTTAACAAGAAATCAATGTCACTCAAAAACTTTCAAAAGGAAAATATTAAGCAAACATATCATTTCCCTTTCAGAATATTTGTTAATGTAATCATTAAAGAAAAAAATGATAAAATGACTACTACAGCCAAAGATCTACAAAAGGACCTACCATTTTCTCTACCAAATCTTTAACCCCTAGCAAAAAATTTCTAACTGCTGACACCAGTTTATTATAGAATTCCTGATTAGTTGGGATATATATATGAAGTAGTTTATTTTTTTCCCCAATTACTGCTTCCAGCTGTACTACATCAAATCCTTCTTTGTGTGGGTAGGTAGTTCCATTAATGATGTCTTAACCAAATTCCATTATTCAATTCCTTTTATTTATTAAGATTTGGTACAGTCTAGCTTAAAACCTAAATCTTCAAAGTGGGATTCTTCTTCGCCCTGCAGAATATTCTAGAGCAGCAGGCAGGATGACTTGGAAGGGAGGAGAGGCAGAAGAGGTGTTCCTCTAACACACTTCTGGGTACCAGTGTCCCCTGGTGTTGGAGGCACAGAGGAGGGATGGGGCACCAAGGTTGTTCCTGCTCAATCCCTCTCTTAGAGACCTCTGCTGACATGGTAGCACCTGTATTTTGCTGAGAATCCCCTCACAGGAACCACTCAATCTTCTATCTGCCCTGCCAGCTATGTACATTTCCAGCCCTTTGCTATGGCTTGGATCTGGGGCCATTTGGGCAGTGTCGTGGCTCTCATCCTTCTTTTGACCTCCAATCCCCTTTATTGGGCCATGGACCACTGTGCCAGGTGGGTTCACCTTGGCCACTTCCTAAACACACCAAACCAGGGAGCTATCAGGTCCTGCTGACACAGACCATTCCAGCTGATTCCTTTTAGAGATCTCTAGGCCAGTCCCCATGTTCTTGTGTACTCCCACTCCAAGAAACCACATCCAAGAACTTCCTTCCTTTACTCTGTTTTGAGAGGGCCTTAGCCCCTCCATAGTTTTCTCCACTGGGGAATGAGCTGGCAAGGCCTCTTCTTGCAGGTAGCCTTAGCCTATTGGGTGATTCCTTTCAGTGGAGTCCCTTCCACTTGACTTAGGATAGAGGAAGCACCCCGATGGACAGAGGGAACAGCTTCACACCTCAAACACTGTAGTCTCTCCAAGGATGACCCCATCCTTCCCCACCCCTTTTATATACCAATTTGAGGCAAAAAAGATGGTGGGGAGGTTGAAGGAAATGAGGCTAATTCTGTTGCCAATTAAGCTAGTTGGGAGGTGTGGCCTTAACTGCTGGGGAAAGCTGCTGCTCTTTTTAGCCTGGAGCCATTTATCAGCCTTTGTTTGCAGCTTTGCTCCTTAAACCCAAGTTGGCAAACAGGAAAAGGCCCACAGGATGACACAGCTTGTGACCTTTACATCAGGGTGCTTCTAGCTTTTTCTTCCTATCTAGAATTGCTTTGTCTTTCTGCTCTTAAAGATACATTTTTAAGGAGAAACACAACACAGAGGGGCAATGAAAATTTGTAAAAGCTCCTCTGTTTAGTTGGCCCTGAGTGTCACAGGTAAGAAACAAAGTAGAAGAAAACTAATTACAGTACTATTTTGTGTTTAAAATTTTTTGGTCCTTAAAAAAAAATAAGTAAATAAATAAAAAATAAAACAAGTGGATCCTTATCTATTATTTATCTTTTAATAACTGTACCAACCTGCCCTTTCTCAAGAAGTTGCTTAATTATGAATAAGGAATTGATTTTTATGGGGCCAAGAATTGTGTGTACACATTGGAATTCATTCTGGCATCTGCCTGCCCATTATTCTGGCTTATGTTCTGCCAAAGGCCAATGAAGCTCTGTCAAGAGGACCCGCTGTAAAACATAATGACTTCAGGAATTGGGGGCATTCCAGGCACCCTGGGAGGTTAGAAGAGCTGCCTCTTAATAATAAGAGGTTCTGGCCAGAGGTTTGCTGAGCTTGAGTTAGAACCGCCAGGTTTCACCTTCCCAAGGGCCAACCACCCTGCAGGGTGGAGAGTCATGTTTGCAGAGGGCACATTAATAACTCTTTCAGCTCCTGGAAGACCACTTAGTTAATGACTTTGCTCCCTGAGAATCCAAATTCATACCAAGGTGTGACTTTCCAAATCCTTGACAAATATTTTGCCATTTTAATATCTGGCACAAAAGAAAAAGACAAGGGGAATTCTGTGGGAAGTATGAGTTAGTCTGTCATAGCTGCCCCCAGAATAATACAGTCTCATGCTAAACTTACTGATCCACTCCATCAACAAATACTTATTAATCACCTACTATGTGCAGATATTGTTCTAGGCACTAAAAATCTAGCAGGGAACACAACAGAGCTTCTAACCTCATGTTTCTTATATTCCAGTGGAGAAAACAACATAAAAAATAGCTAAGCAGATAAATATATAATTTAATGACAGAGGTTGAAAAGAACCATAAGGCAGCATGAGGGGATGGGATAGAGAGTGATAGGGAAACTGCTTTAGTTAGGGTGGTCAGAAAAGGCTTTTCTGAGAAAGATTATTATCTGAATGAGACCTGACAAACCACAGCAGACCACAGGAGAAGGAGTTGGGTGGTTGAAGAGGAAGATGGAAGGAAGGAGGAGAGTTTAAAAGATAGATGGATTTAGTAGAAATAGCTTCAGTGAGCATTTGGAATGTAGTCATGCAGAGGAAGGACTGGCCTCATTTTTGGGGTTTCCAGAGGCAAGATAAAGCCCAAAAGTAACAACATCATA